GACGTGGTCGATTATATATCGGGTGGCGAGCGGGTCGCCCGTGAAATGCGCTACGTCGCGGAGACAACCGAGGGAGAACGAATCGGAGATTGGACACCGCCGTCGCCCATGGCCATGCGAACCACACGTTTCCACAAGCATTCCAGTATCTCTTCCTTTCTTCTTTCCCTTCTTTTTATTTTTATTAATTGAACAACTTTCGGAAAATTACCATCGCGAATCCTTCGCCTTCCCAGGCTTCCCAGGGGAGAATTTCCCGGCTCGTAAGGACGTATTGACGAGGAAACCGTTGGATTTCGAGGAGGAAGACGAGGCGAGAAAATTCGAAACGTCCAAGTGGTTGGAGAGCCACTTCGGCAGCGAGTCGCGCTCCTCCCATGGATCCGTTAACGCGTTGGACGACTCGCCCGTTCCAACGAGCGCGAACACAAGTTACATCAACGTCACGATGAAGTCTTGCCCATCCAAGGACAGGGATTATCAAAACGCCTCGAATCAACGGCATCAACGGCGCAGCACCGGCCGCGACTCGGCGTCACCTTCAGGCTACTTTCACGGGATAAGCGAGTGGTCTGAAAGGTATCAGGGAAAAGGTATATATATATTTTTTTTTATTAAAAAAATAACTTGTCAATTATATATTTTTGACAATGCTAGAGAGGCAGAATCAAGGGAGAACGAGTTCTCCTCCGTCCCAATACGTGGAGACGATTCACACGAATGGACACGATCATTCGAGGAGCCAAGTCGAGTCGACGTACTCGAAAACATACGAATCCGTTGTTCGCCGCGAACACCAAGAATCGTCCGATCGATCACGCACGCCGCCACCACCCGCTCGACGAAGATCGAAAGAGCAGGTACGTACAAGTGTGATATATAACGACACACGAGATTGATCTCTTCTTTTTTTAGTGGAGGCCCGAAGAGAAAACCAGTTTAAACGAATCGACACCACCGGGCCGAGCATCGAGCCCGGTTCACGTTGTGCAAAGAACGTGGGAAAATCGTAATCGAGACGTCCAAGAGCAGGCGGTCGAGCAAGAGAATCGGAAGAAATCGGTATCGAGATCTCGGTCACCGTCGCCCACGTCGAAATCGAATTTCCGCAATAACAAGAAATCAAACGAGATCGCGACTTCGACACCTGCTCGCCCTGCAAAAAGTAAAAGTTGTATTAAGAAATAATATTTTCACTTTAACGTGATAACAATGATATTTATATATATATATATATATTCTTCTTTTTTTTTAATATATCTCTCTTTTAATATTCGAGGTTCCGGGCATTCGAAATACAAAATAGGGGAATCGTTCAGAAAATTGGTGGGAAAATTGCGTTCAGCCAGCAACGAAAGGAAGAGTAAACGCGCAAGTAGTAGCTCTATCTCTCAATTGACTCAGACGGACGACAGCGGTCCAACTTATATGCAGTACAACGTGATAGACAAGAACATCCCTCTGGTGAACGAGAAGAATATCGAGGGGAATCCTCCCGAGAGGCCGCCACGCTCGCCTAAAAACGCCACCACGAACAGTGGCTCGAGTAAGGTTACGAGAACGGTGAGGACAGGCGACCATCATATTGCGACTCAAGAGCAGTGGCAACGCAGCGAATCGACACCGCCGTTGCACAGGTATTATCTGGGCGAGGATCCATTTGGAGGAAGCATCTACGGCCGCGAAAAAGGATACCGAGACGCGAGAAGATCCGGAAAGCCACGCGGTAGAACGGTCGCAGAGACCGTGTACAGGTAATCAAGCTAAACTATAAAAAGAAAAAAAAATAAATAAATAAAAATAAAAAAAAAAAGAAAAGGCATTAAACAAAAGGCTGATTGATGCATATACATTAGCTACGTCTCTTGTTCAAGTTAATCGTTAAAAAAAAAAAAAAAAAATAAGATCAACGGTATCGTATTGCCCGACTGCGAGAGAAAGGTGTAATCGTATGAGGGAATCGAAAGACATTCCTTGTAAGCTGATACAGATTTACGTAATCGAATCTGTAGAAACGGTGCTTCGCTTATTGTTAAATTTTAATAATATATATGTACATAGATATATAGATAGATAGATATATATATATATATATATATATATAAGTACATACATGTATACGTATTTCGATGAAAGTCGGTCGCTTCGGATGCTGGGTGAAGGCTGCATGAAAGGGAGTTTGAAGCATGCCTATATGCCTCTAGTAGTTTTGTATCGACTCGTCAACTCGTCTCGAAGAACGATTCCTTCACAATCAAATTTGTCGAATCGACGCGTTTCAGCGTCGCATCCAGTTCACTTGGCAGATTTAGCAAGTCTACCAGTCGATTAGCCAACGATCACGAGAGAGAGGAGCACTATAGGAGCACGCAAACCCTGCCGAGGAATCTGCATGCCGGGGGACAATATGTTCGGTCGCAGCCTCAGTCGAGACGTCAGCCACCAGTTGTTACTAGCACGAGCAAATTGGGAACGTCGCATGCCATTATCCCGCCATCGGGTAACAAGTCGCGTCAATATGGGAGCATGATCAATATTTCCATCAAGAACACGGTCACATCGCCGAAGGTGTCAATATCGAGCAATGTCCAACCACCGGTCAAGCCAGAACGAACTTACAAATCCTTGTCTCGTAGCAAGAGTTTTAATGTCGAGGCTGATAGAAATGGTACCAATACACCACCACTCAGAATACCGTACACATCTAACTTGCATTTAAATCGATTAGATGAGACGCCTCCATTGAAGAGTCCAGGCATCTTGGCCAGTATCAATCGTAGTAACAAAGATCTATTGAGAAACGGTAGACACGAGTATTGAGTTATCTTTATTAAATTTTTCTTCGATTAGAGACTTTTTATATAATAATTTCACAATGAACTGGTTCTTTCTTTTTTTTTTTTTTTTTTGATTATAGTGGAATTCATCACGCGGGTATTATTATCGTGAATAATTTAAGCTTTTTATGTAAAATATTTATAGTGTAAAGTATTATTAATATTGCCCACATTGATCATATAGATCATATGATAAGAGGATAGATTTGTTTTGTATAAACCAATGAAACTATATTTTATCTTAACTTTTTCAAACAAATTCTTATTACAACACAATTCACGTATGATTTATTTTTTTCTTAGTTCATGTATTCAGTTACAAGTCCAAGATTACATATCATTGGTAGATGGGAACGAGATAGCAATAATAATTTGTTTTTAGAAATATGTGATTAAATGTTAAATCTTGCAATATTTTATTTCTGTATCATATTAAAATGAAATTATAATTCTTTCAGAATAGTTGCCTTTGTAACATTTATTTTGATATATACAAAGATATATACAAATTGCTTTACTAAAATAATCTATAAAATTTTAATAAATCAGACTATATCGATATTTAATGAATAATATTAATATCATATCAATTATATAGTCTATTCATAGGGACTCATAGGGACTTTTTTAAAAAAAAAATGATATTCAGAAAATGTAGATTTTAAAAAATCAATATTTAGTTCGATTTTATTTGTTGATTTATATCATTTCGAAATAATCTTCGATGTTTCTTAATCGCAAATATTAAGAGAATGATATTTAAGATATAAATACTAACACAGACCACGCAAATATTATTTAATTTGTATAAAATTAAAGCTAGAAAAATTGTACCGATGTTTGCAAAAATTCCTAATGTTACAACCAAAATTGATGTAACATATCGATTTGACACACCTAAAAAATTGTTATTATAAATATTATTAAGAATAAAAAAAAAACATATTTTACCTCAATTAACAATTTATTGAATACAATACGTACTCAGTATTGCGACTAAAGTATAAAATATTAACCCGTATATAGGATTTGGTATATATAAAACAGATGTTTTTGGAATTATTCCAAAACCTTTTCCATATCTGCAATATAAAATCAATTATTTATTAGACTATGTATTAAAAATAAATTTAATCACTGAAATATTTTTAAATTGAAAAATCAAATGCATTAATTTTTCTTATAAAATGGCTTTAAAATATTGTAAAAAAACTTGATTCAAAATTCAGTCTGAACGCATGCGCGTGTCATTGAAATTAAGGTTGATTTCTATGTAGAATAATCCTTAATACATAATTATATGAAATTTATCTTAAGTATATATATTCACATTTATAAATTATATCGATTCAAAAATATGTCTTCAAAGATTTAAAATTAAATAATATATTAAATAAAATGTTTTTCTTTTATTATAATCTTGAAAATTTGCATCAATCATAAAACACTTCATATTGTGAACAAGTTTTATATATTTTTCTTATACACAAAATATATATTATTAGTTTAGTATCATATATATATTTTAAAATAATATCTGCATACTTACTCAGAGAAAAATGCTTTTGTGCAACTAACGTGCTCGCTAATATCGCACATTGCTTCGTATAAATTATCATTTTCCTTTGCAACTTCTATAGAGTATGCGTAATAAGAAACAGCAAAACCTACGATACATGTTGTGATAATTCCGACGTTCAATTTCCGCATAGTTTTTGCAAGGTTTCTGTTATAATTTTTTACAGACATGATTAAATTATATAAATATTTATTAAATTTACACTTTGTTTAAATATATACTTTTATAGGAAAGAATGATTGATTCAATTCACACTTGAAAATTTTCCGATACTTCCAGTCGAAATTAATATTCTTCGTACGAGTAAATTATACAAATGCCACGATCGATAATCAAGCGAATGTGAAACAAAATATAACATAGAACGTTGATTGATCTACTTTAGCAGAATTCCGAACACCGACTAAAAACTCTTTTATTCTATTACAAGATTATATTAATGAGATAAAGATAATATCGCAAATCATCTAAATGTATCAGATATTTTCATATTTATACAGATGTATTAATAGTTATTTTGTGATTTTTTTATCAAACAATTTCAATTTAATTTTTAAAATTGATTAAAATCAATAAAATTGTAGTTGGAATACTTTATTTTACGATTTGTACAATGCTTATGAGATTTTTAAATACATTTTTTTTTTTTTTTTTTTGATATTGACAGTTTAAAATCTGCAGAATGAATAGATGTTTTGAAACTATATCACGTTTTTTAATTTTCTTACATATCTTATTTTCACGACTTATCAATAATTGTCACTAAGCCTTAAGAATTAAATTTTTTAACTTAAAAAAGAAATGCTTTCCACATTTTACTAATAAGTGATAACATAATTTATTGTGATATTATGTAAAATTTTTCAATATTTTTCATCAGAATCAGAATAGGATATTTTTTTATATCTTAATGAGATTAGTGTTGTTTTTAAAGAATATGTGTATATATAAGAATTTTGTCAACAAAAACAAAAATGCAAATAATAGTAAATTAGCTACATCATATGCTAATGTTACTTATAAAAAAGATAAGAAATGTAGATCATTATTAGAATATACTATAGATATATGATAACCTCTTCATGTAATTGGAATATTTGAATTTAATGAGACTCAATTTTATTCCTGCGGAGCCATTGCTCTGGCTTGAGCTCTCACACGCTTTTCATATTCCAAGCGATTTTGACTGCGATAAAAAGAAGAATATTTGTTGCATTATCAAACATAATATTAATATTTAATTATTTAAAATAAATACAATACCAATATATTGTATATGCTTCTGCTTGAGCTGGATCTTTGACATTAGGTTCATTTAATAAATCTTGTATACCAAGTAGAATTTGTTTAATTGTAATGGCAGGTCTCCAATCTTTCTCTTCATCTAAGAGTGATAAACATACTGTTCCTGAAGGATAGACATTTGGGTGAAATAAAGGAGGTTCAAATTTACATTTTGGTGGACTGGAGGGATAGTCATCCTTAAAAATCATACGTAGTTTATATAATCCACCTTCCCATGGTGTCTACAAAATTGAATTAGATGTTATTAACAATATAATATTTATACATTATGTTATATAAAACTCACAGATTTTTTTCCTGGTATGGCACATTCCCAATTCATCAAGTTAAGAGATCCATCTTGATTTTTAACTGGTCGTGCTACAAATCCCTATAAAAAAAAAATGTTATGATTTAATGCACATCATACATAAACGTTGACGTTTATTTCACATATGCACTATACATGAAACAATCCAAACAATACACGTTTTGATGTGAAAGGTTAGGATTCTTAACCATTCAATTATTTTAGTAGAAACAATTTTTATGCTTAATAATAATATTATTATATTGAAATTATATCATAAACAAATATATTTATTTGTTAATGAAATTTTTAATGTTGAAATAATCTAAATTTGATACATATGACTATCAAACAGATGTACACATATTAATTGTAATTGAAAAGAACAATATATCAAAAAGATATCTTACGAAAGGATGATCTTTCCTCCATGCTTTTCGCTCTTCGGCGAGCCTAGCAATCGCAATGCCTGACATTAATCTGCAACAAGTTTGTGTTATATTAGCGTAACGTACTTAGGCGCGAAATATAATCGAGACGCTGTGGGAATGTGAATTCTGACGTTACCACGATGCTTATCGATAGCAATCCACAACGTCGAATTCTAGGCACTTTATGCGCCGAAATTTCATCAAATACTTAGCCACACAGGGTGAAAGCGATTAGGGTGCGTGTTCAGAAAACTTATAGATTTGTAACAGTCTTTAGTGTTATATGGATATCCATGTGAATTCTTTTTCATAAAGACTGCATCCGTTACTAGGACCTCTGCTGGTAAAAGAGGACATATATTTTGGATAAGTTCTACAGAGCTACACCAATCAAAGTATGTGTATATTTGTCCAATTTATTGGTTGGTTGATTTATCTTAATTATATATATTTTTATTATTACTTATCAAGCATTTTTTTGTTAATTTAAATGCTGATATTCTATCAAATAACATTTATTTTTAGAATTTTTTTACATAATTTTCTAATATCATGATATAAAAAATACTATTGTTAAAATTAAATATTGTAATGAATCTAATTTTGTTCGATAATTTTGTTCGATAATATTTTTAAAAAATAAGCAAAAAATAAATAAATTAATATATATTTGCATAAAAAAAATATAAATCTATCATAATTTTTCGTATGACGAAATTCTCGTAATTTATTTTTAAATTATTTTCTCTCTCTTTTTCTTTCTCTTTCTTTCAAATCATTAAATCATTATTTTGTTCTCTCCTATTTTGTTAAATCAAATTTTTTACATTTTTATCTTTTATGTTATTCATATATTATTCGTATCAAATATATTATATATGTATAATATATATTAAAATAATAAAAAACTATAAACGTTGAAAAGATTATTAATTTTTTGTGTATAATAGTTTTAGTTTTGACGAATATTACTAATAATCTTATCAAAAAAAATATCTAATCAATCAATCTAATATATTTTATACTTGAAAATAAAACGAAAATATTATTATGAAAATAAAACCGCACATTCTAATTTTAATCACATTCCAATTCTTTACTTTACTTTACATTATTTTTTTTCATACATACTTTTATATAATGCAATCATTGTAAAATAATTACAAAACTCGATTCAAAACTACTCGTAATATTAGGATCGCATACTATTATAGGAGGACACAAGTAGATGCGAATTTATAGAAATAAATTTTCCCTCAAAAGTTACTTCTTGTATTAGGAGAATATACTATAAACAGAGGTCTTTTAATGGTAAATGGCAAATTATATAATAATAATAAATTGCTATTTTTTTCGTTAGAATAATATAACTAAAAAGAAGTTTCCGAATAATATAAATATCGTTTTCACGTGAAAATTTATATTAAACTTTACATTTTCATTTCAAAATTATACGATGAAATAATATATTGAAATAATGTTGCCTAATATTAGACAATATACATCGAAAAATATAACTAACTTACCTGCTTATACTTCAAATAGATTGTGTTTCAATATTAAAACATTATTAAGTGAATTTATAGTCATATGAATGTGGATGTGTCAAAGTCATTCCTTTTTTTCTTTATTAAAACTAAAAAACTTTCTTTTTCAAAAAGACAAATTTTTATCACGAATCATATAACGTAAATGAATATAATGTTATATCAAAAATCTAATCAAAAGTCAAAATCTATACAATTAAAATTGGATTGTACAAAATTTGCAATCTTTAAAATAACTTAATAAATATTGTCGAAAAATCTATCAAATATTTTTTTCTTTTTAATATATATATATAAATGATATAAATGATCATAATATTTCGGTAAATGATTACAACTCGTTGTTTTCCCATCTTAAAATATCTAATTATCGCAATATGCATTAGCGCACTGTGTAAATCGAATGTCTGCGTCTGCGCTCATATTTTGCAATATGTTCTCTTCTAGTTAAACCCTCGCATCTTAGTTATTCATCTGACAGAAGAGGATCAGCTTCGATTTTCTTATTAGCATTACTAGCCCTCAGTCGATGTTTACGTATTATTCGAATATGATCTTTTTATTTCTTGTGTACTCGAACGATTAAAAAATACTTAATATCGATGGAAAATTCGTGATTCAACTTTTATTGAAATCAGATCAGATTTATTATTTTTTTTTAAATGTGCAAAATTATCTTCCAATTTAAATCCAAAATGAGAGAAATATCATGCCACATTTTTTTGTAAGTAAACTTTTTTTTTACTTTAGCTTCTCATTATTTTCATTTTCATTGAATATTCAATCTTTCATGCAATTCCTTTTTTATGCGAATCTTTCAAGATTAAATTTAATAAAAATTTATTTTAAATCAAAAATTTAAATTTTCAATAATTTGATTAAAATTATCAATCATTAATAAAATACTAATGAAAATTTAAAATTAAAAATTCAAACAAATATTATACAAAATAGATATTATATGATCAATAGAAGAAAAAAAAAAAAAAATAAATTTCTTTTTCATTCAAAGAGAAAGAGAAAATTCGAAGAAAAATTAAGACAATAACGATTAGATAAGTAACGAGTCATCATTATTATTATTTGCATAAACTATGGCGCATATGAAGTTTTGCGCACTTCCTTGTTTATAAGAGAATTAAACTATCAAAGATTAGATAATATTGTGTCATTATTTTTTAAAACAATATCCAAAACTTGCATGATCAAAAAAATAATGGAATGGATAAATAGATTTTTTGATTAAACTTGTATAAAGTTTTTTTTTTAATAATTTTTTATTATTAAAAAAAAAAAAAAAAATAGTAGGAAAAAGATAATAATAAAATATCGTTAATAATTATATATATGATATTTTTGAATGATTAAAATAGGATATTTTTCTGGATAAATTTGCAATTTCCATTGGTTCATACGTATGAAGAAAATTGTGATTTGTATCAAACAAAGTTAAACACGAGCACGTTGTGCAAGCAACATGATCATCGTTTGGTTTGTTTTCACGGTCTCGAGGATAAATGGAAGAACGGGTGATTATCACTATCATCTTACTAATAAGTATTTAAATAAGAGAGAAAAGTATTTAAGGATAATTGTTTAGAGGTCAAAACGTACGAACATTGGTGTTCTGCTATTGGCCCCTGCCAATTTTCGATCCTCAGGATGTTCTACAGGGATTTTCTTCTTTAAAAAAGCTTGAAATCAAAAAAGGAAATTTAACGACATTAATTTCATCATTTCC